TGCATCGTAAAATATCTTCTTGCACATGACACTTAAATCCAGCCCCTCTATTCTTGGCACCATTTCACTTTTATTTATTTCCCAGCTGACTTGAAGTTTCTCGTAAGGAAAATAAAGTGTGTTAGAAAATATTGCAGACAGCGATGAGCCATTGCTGTCAGGCTCAGGCATTGTGAATCAGGACTGTTCTGAGGATGTGCTTAGCGCATGGAACAAAGTTCTGGAGGAGTGGAAAGCTGATCCGGAATGGTTAGTTGTTGTGCTCCCAGTATTATTATGGAGTATTATTAGCTTCGTTAGAAGATGATTTTCGTGGAATTGTACCCCGCTTGGCCTGCAAGACTCCGGGAGCTTGTTCAGCTGGATCAGTGGTTGCCTGATTGAAACAGTAAGGCCAAAATCTGACCTAAATTTGATGGGATAGTGGTTTTGATAGTTTTGAATGAACAAATTCTCAGGACACGGCCAAAAGAGCTCGCTGATTTGATACGTAACGGTGTGCCAGATGTGTTGCGCGGCGAAGTATGGCAGTATTTGGCAAAAGTACAAATCGATCCGGACCTCACCGATACATATCGCTTACTACTGGGCAAGGTAACTCCATGCTTTTCGTTGTTTTTGATCTGATAAAAACTTTGATGGTAATAGAAAGTTATAATAAGAAAAAATGGGAAAGGGAAAAAAAGGAAAGATAGGTAAGAAATGAAAAATAAAAAATTTGTAAGAGTATTATAATGGTAAGAAATGTTTCGGTCCATTAAGTCATATGCATTTCTGATCATTACCATGATTGGGCCTCGTCAGTACGACGATTGTGATAATTTAAATTGGTGAAAGGTACACTTAAATTTATATTTATATGAGACTGCATCATAAAATGTCTTACTTATTTGAAACTCAATAAAAAACGTGGAAAATGAGCATTCTTCGGTATTCAAATGTTGATTAATTATGTGATCAAATCACTCGGCTTTAGCCATAATCGAAGTAGTAATAATAATGCTGATAGTGATTACTAATAATAGATTGCGGTCGTTAGAAAGCCGAATCGTGATCTTAAAACAGTTGGACGGTCTAAAGAAAAAAAATGTGGAGCGGCCGGAGTCAGAAAGTTTAAACCAAGAACTGGATAAGCCATAATCGACGCTTTGCAGGAATGTCCATCGGAGCAGGTGATATTGCGCGACATCCATCGTACATTCCCGGCGCATGAGTATTTCAAGGAAGCAGGCGGCGAAGGCCAGGAATCGCTGTATCGTATCAGTAAAGCATACTCGTTATATGATGAGGAAGTTAGCTACTGCCAAGGATTATCCTTCTTAGCTGCTGCACTGCTGTTGCATGTACGTTCTTATCTTCCTGTGTTGGATGGATCTCGGTGCTTAGTAAATTTCAATTGCATAAAAGTTACTAGCTGATATGCCTGGGTGTTTTCTAAATTACTTACAGCTGCATCTTTCACTGTTTTTTTGCTTTTTATTGTTTAATACATATGCGCTGATAGACAAATCAGTGCTGCTTTCGTGCTGGAGGTTAAAAATTTTTTGCTGTTGGGAAAACCAGTCTCTCTACGATTCATTCATTCGTTTCGATGGTAAATTGATACTGACTCGTGTCAGAGAGTCAAATAAAGCAGCATCAGTTCAGCCTTACCGACGAGTGGTTGCTGATGGCATGTACAACCATTCGGATTAGTGAGTCAAATATAGCATCAGTTTAGCCTTACCGACGAGTGGTTGCTGTTGGCATGTGTAACCGCTCGGACCATTGAGTCAAATACAGCATCAGTTTAGCCTCACCGACGAGTAGTTGCTGTTGACATGTGTAACCACTCGAGCTACTTTTCCTATAGAGTGATTGTGGAAGATCGTCGATTTTTAACTTGCCTGCTCGTTGTAGTGCTCATGTTGTTGTTTCAGATGCCGGAAGATTTGGCTTTTTGTACACTTGTTAAAATTATGTTTGATTATGGCTTACGTGATTTGTTCAAACTTGGCTTGGACGTTTTGCACTTGCGATTTTATCAGCTTCAACGATTGACCGAGGTCTCAGTTCCTTCAGCAGTTTCTCCTTCATGATTGCAGCAGTCAGTGCATTGTTCTTGTCTCGGTAGCAAATAATTAATTTGGCGAAATACGGGATGAGATTACTAATAAATAAATGGCAACGCGCACCAGGCTAGCCGGTGCGATCATGCGTTTTGTGCAATTCAGCCC